CTGCTCTATCTTTTAGCATTGGATATATAATTCTACTTGCAGAGAACAAGCAATTGCCTCTATTTCCAAGTTCTCAGGAGAACAGATGTATAACCAATGTCAGGAGAGAAGCGAGTCCAGCTCGCCTTGCACCAGTGGCTCTGATTGCTTCCATAATGCTGTCACTGACCTGACAGCTAAGCAGGGCCCAACAAGACAAAGGGTTCTTTGTGCTGCCATTTCTACAGAGGGAAGCCAGTTTTGACAAGCCCCTACTCCTTTCTGCAGAACCTTTTGTTAAAAAGGAAAATGAAATTACTCTGCAAGCAGAATTATCTGAGATATCGGATTCATTTAAACTTATTTCTCATTACATCTCAGACTAAGCTTTCTCTTCTCTTTATCTTTTCAAAGTCTAGACCAACCTACAGCAGGACATTTTATTTTAATTTATTTCAATAGCTTTGGAGAGTATGAATAGTTTTGGTCTAGGCTTTAAGTGTACCTACCAACCCCACCTGGGCACATTGTACCCAACAGGTAAATTTTTGTCTCTCCACCCCTTGCCCTCTCCCCTTTCTGAGTCTCCAATGTACCTTATACCATTCTCTGTGTCTTTGCACAGCCTTAGTTTAGCTCCCATTTACAAGTGAGAACATGCAATGTTTGGTTTTCTGTTCCTGAGTTAATTCATTTAGGATTATGGTCTCCAATTCCAAGTTGCTGCAGAAGACATTATTTTATTGTTTTTGATAGCTGAATAGTATTTCATAGTGTATATTTACCACCTTTTCATTATCCACTGATTAGTTAATGGACATTTAAATTGATTCCACATCTTTTCAATTGTGAATTGTGCTGTGATGAACATGCCATATGAGTGCAGGTGTCTTTTTTATATAATGACCTCTGTTCCTTTGGTACCAAGTAGTGGGATTGCTGGATCAAATGATAACTCTACTACTTTTAGTTGTTTGAGAATTCTCCATACTGCTTTCCATAAATGTTGTACTAATTTAAACTTCCACCAACAGTCTATAAGTGTTCCCTCTTCACTACATCCTCACCAGCATCTATTTTTTTTTCAAATTTTTAAAGAAATGGCCATTCTGAGTGGTGTAAGGTGGTATCTCATTGTGGTTTTAATTTGCATTTCCCTGATGATAAGTGATGTTGAGCATTTTTTCTTTTTTCTTTTTTTCTTTTTTTGGTCATTAGTATATCTTATTTTGAGAGATATCTGTTCATGTCACTTGCTCACTTTTTAATGAGGTTAACTGCTTTTTTCTTGCTGATTTGTTTGAGTTCTTTGTAGATAATGGATATTAGTCCTTTGTCAAATGTATAGTTTACAAATATCTTCTCCCATTCTGTAGGTTACCTGTTTGCTCTGTTGATTATTTATTTTGCTGTGCAGAAGCTTTTTAGTTTAATTAAGTCCTACTTGTTTATTTTTGTCTGTTGCATTTGCTGTTGGGGTTTTAACCATAATTTTTTTGCCTAGGCCAATGTCCAGAAGAGTTTTTCCTAGGTTTTCTTCTAAGATTTTTATAGTTTCAGGTCTGACATTTAAGTCTTTAATCCATTTTGAGTTAATTTTTATATATGGGGAGAGATGGGATCAAGTCTCATTTTTCTGCATGTAGCTATCCAATATTCTCAGCACCATTTGTTGCATAGGATGCCCTTTTTTCAGGGCATGTTTTTGTATGCTGTGTCAAATATCAGTTGATTGTTAGGATTTGAGTTTATTTCTGGATTCTCTATTCTGTTCCATTGGTCCATGTGTCTGCTCTTGTATCAGTACTATACTGTTTTGGTTACTACAGCCTTGCAGTATTTTTTGAAGTCAAGTAATGTGATGACTCCAGCTTTGTTATTTTTACAAAGGATTACTTTGGTTATTCTGTCTCTTTTTTGGTTTCATATGAATTTTAGGATTGCTTTTTTCTAATTTCTTGAAAATGTCGTTGGTAATCTAATAGGAATTGTCGAATATCTAGATTACTTTAGATAATAAGATCATTTTAACAATGTTGATTCTTCCAATTCAAGAGTATGGGATGTTTCTCTAATTGTTTATGTCCTCAACAATTTCTTTCATAGAGTTTTATAGTTCTCCTTGTAGAGATATTTTACCTTCTTGGTTAAATAAATATATCCCTAGGTATTTTTGCTTTTTGGCTGCTATTGTAAACGGAAATGAGTTCTTTATTTGACTCTCAGCTTGGTCGCTACTGGTGTATAGCAGTGCTACTGATTTGTGTGTGTTGATTTTGCAGGATATTTTGGGGAATTTCAGGCATTGGCTTAGCTACTGAATTGTGACTTTATAAGTCATCTTTCTTTGTTGCAAATAACAAAACCCCAATTCACACAGGTTTATGTAGAGAAGGGACTTTGTCAGCTCATAAAACAGAAGAGTTAAGAGGTATTTTAGCTTCAGGTATGGCTGGATCCAGAGCCTCTAGCAATGCCATCAGGTACCTGCCTTTCTTTATCTCTTAGCTCTGCTTTCTCTACAGTGACTTTACCCTCAGGAAGCTTTTTCCCTGCACAACTTTCTCCTAATATCTCCATGCTCACATTCTACCAGTTCAACACATTCAATACAAAGAAAGCTTCTCTTTAATAGTCTGGGTTTAATAGTCTAGGGTTTCTGGATTTAGCAAACATTTGGGACATACTTACAATAACAAATTATTTATGATCCAAAAATCCAAATTCAACTGAATATCCCGTATTTTGCCTGGTGACCCTAAGTCCAGGACAGGTCCTAGGATTGAGACTGGGCAGTTTGGATCCTGTACCTCTCTCAGGCCTAATCACAAATGGTGAGAAGAATGCGATGTGTCAGTTGGCAGGCCAAAGTCACTTGCCCATCCCTGGAATTGGAGAGGAGATAATGATCAGCCCCATAGTCCACATGCACCAATAGTTGGAGATGGGTTCTTCCCCACAATAATCGAGACACTGACCATAAAATAAAAGGGAATGAACCCTGCAGAGGCAAAAACAACAGATGTCCACTAGAGTGACTTTGAAAGTTTCAGACTACAGTGAAAAATTATAAAATTTCATGATGGTTGAAAGGTACACAAGAGCTTGAAGGCATTTTCAGGCCAGGTGTGGTGGCTCATGCCTATAATCCCAGCACTTTAGGAGGCCAAGGGGAGAGAACTGCTTGAGCCCACAAGTTTGAGACCAGTCTGGGCAACATAGCAAGACCTCATCGCTACAAAAAATTAACTGGGTGTGGTGGTAAATGTCTGTAGTCCCAACTACTCGAGGGACTGAGGTAGAAGGATTTTCCAAGTCCAGGAAGTCAAGGCTGTGGTGAGTTGTGATTGTGCTACTGCATTCCAGCCTGGGCAATAGAGTGAGACTCCAACTCAATGAAAAAAAAAAAAAAAGCATTTTCATAACATTTTTTTCTTGCAAGATTATAATCATTCCTTGCATTAATTTGCTAAGGCTGCTTAAACAAAGTACCAACCAAGGACTAGGTGGCTTAAACAACAGAAATTTATTTTCTCACAATTCTGGAAGCTAGGAGTCCAAGTTCAAGGTTTCAGCAGGTCTCTGAAGCCTCTCTCCTTGGTTTGCAAAAGGCATCTTCTCCCTGTATCCTCACATGGTCTAACCTCTGTTCTGATCATCTTTTCTTATAAGGACACCAGTCATATTGGATTAGGGCCCATCCTAATGACTTCATTTTTACTTAATCACCTCTTTAAAGGCCCTCCCTCTGCATACAGCCACATTCTGAGTGTTCGGGTTTTCACATATAAATTTGAGGAGGGGACACAGTTCATAACACTCCCATAACACTTCCTCTCTATTAGGAACAGGACCTTGAGGGTGGGTTTGGCTTGTTTCCAATCCCAGGGTTGATTTTAGTAGTGGAACTCCAATCAGGGATGGTCCCTGCTGTCCTCACCATACCTCTGCCAGTCCACCAAGCTCCCTTCCTGGGGCACGCACAGTAAATCCCCTCTCCTGATCACAGCACCCAGCACAGGGCAGAAGACTTTCTTGAAATAACTGTTTCTTGAAAGGAATGAAGCTGAGAAGAAGAAGGAAAAAAATCTTCCTAGACAGTTTTAGGAGATTTAGCTCAAAGGAAAGGAGGACAGGCACACAAGCTCATGATTTGAAGTGATAAAGACTCTTTAGAACAGCAAAAATGATGAAGCCTATGGATGTGTAAATGAGCCCAGGGAAGAACTAATCAGGAGGGTAAATTACAAAACAGAAAAAGAGGAAAACAAGCTAGGGGGGAACAGTGAATATTTCAGTGTCTTTAGTTCATAAGAAATTCATGAGCAATTTTGGAAATTTTGTTGGTTTTGGTGGTGGGAGAGAATTGTAAATATGTATAATATGTAAATACCTTTTATAATAAAAGCTCATGAAGATAAACGAGCCTGTCTGCCGAAAAGCTGTGAGCCGTATAAGATGTTAATATAACTGTCCTCACTCTAGAAATTACCATAATGCTTACAGGGATCTGAAAGTTCCTGAGGTTTGGAAAGAACTGCATAAACACTAACCAGAAAACACACACATTCCTTTTCTTTTTTTTTTCTTTTCCTGTCTTCCTTCCTTTATTTTTATTTTTACTTTTTAACATGAGGAAGGTAGCGTTGGTGAAAACAGATTTTGGAATTGAACCTACATGGGTTCAAATTCGCCTTCCACCACTGACGAGCTGTGCGGTCTTGGGCAAGTCATCCTGCTCCTGTGGGACTCACTTTCCCCGTCTGTGAAATGGGGATACTGACATCGGCACCGTGCCGCGTTTGGGCAGGATCTTGAGTGGGACGGGACAGTGAGGGCTGCGGCCACTCTGCTTCTCTACCGGGCGCGCTACTCCAGGGCTCTTTGGGCATCGAGGCCGGGGCGGGGCGTCCCTGCCTGCCGGAAGGAAGAGGCCGGCCCAGCTGGACTCGCCGCCCCGCCTCCGCCCCGCGCTCCCCGAGCCGATGGCGCCGGCGGCGCGGCCCTGGGCGCGGGCCCTGTGGCGGGCCTGCAACGGGCTCATGGCCGCCTTCTTCGCGCTGGCGGCCTTCGTGCAGGTCAGGCGGGCCGCGCCGCGGGAGGCGGGCGGTGGGCGGGGGACCCGCCAGGCTCGGAGCTCCGCCCCGGTCAGGCGCGCCGCGTGGGCTGACAGGCCGACTGAGTCGCCGGGGCTCATTCGATGGGGAGACGGAACATGGGGTTTATGCTGGGGGAGCCCCAGCCTGTTCCCTACCGAGGACAGGTGTGTTCATATAAGAAAGCCACACACCTGAGAACCTGACCTGACAGGCCTGTTGTGCTGGAATGCTGGAAAGAGCTGATTCAGCGTGGGTCACTTTGAAGGGGACCTTAGCAGAAGCGGCACTGGCACCTTTCTTAACATTCAGTCCGTGGGTGACACTGACCACAACGCCGGGCCTAGGAGGAGGAAGCAGTACAAAGCCCTTTATAGCATGATTATCCTTCTAAGTCTGTTTTAGGGCCCCCTTCATAATAATTTCACTCGTTTTTTGAGACAGGGAATGTCCTTAAAACACCCATCCTAGGTCTGGTGGGTCCTTTTCAGAGCTCCCGTGCAGGTCTTTTTAACAATGCGTCGCTGCATGTTGAAGCCATCTGTTGTGTTCAACCAGAAACCCCTTCAACCATCCTCTGGTAGACTATGTCTCCTTCAGATTTTGTATCCTCAGTGACTATGGCAGTGCCTGGCACTTAACAAATAAAAGCGGGGGAGGGGGAAGAAGACCAAATACAGGAACGGAACAGGACAGGATGACTGTTGATGTTTTGGCATTCCAGGTAAATGATCCAGATGCAGAATTGTGGGTGGTGAGTATGAACTACATTGGACGCTTTCCTTCATTTGAAAGAGTTGCACAACTGCACCAAACACAGTTTCATCTATTTGCCTCCCCCCCACACTTAATTTGCTTAAAAACTTAGAAACCAAATGCCTCGTAAAGTATTCGTATGTAGGGAGGTATTATCAGAGTGGTAGTGCAGTGTGTGTGTGTGTGTGTGTGTGTGTGTGTGTGTGTGTGCATGTGTGAGTGTGTGTATGTAAATTTCACACTTTTTGAAGCAGGTGTTTCTGTAGTATTCTTTTGGACTAGATCGACTAGACGGCCCAACCGAAGACATTTATTCTTGAGGACCAGGAGTAGATGTGACCCCCCCCAATGTGACCCCCCCCAAAAAAAATCAATTGAACCATTCCTTATAAGTTTCTAGCCAGAAATTCATGCAAACCTTTGAGAAACGGGAGGCTTGAGTTCTGTGGTTCTGCTAATTCAGTGAGTTATATTTATAGAAAGTAATTAAAGCCTGTAAAACATAGTCTTCATTTAACCAGCACTGATTGGAACCATTTAGAAGAGGGGGAGATTGTCTCATACATCTTCTGAAGTATCTGAATTTTGCCTAGTTTCTTTCAATATAGATACACAAGACTGTACACTTATCACCAGGAGACAATTCTTAGACAGTTATTAGAATAATGTTGATCATGTACAGATGAGCAGAAAGCATGACAGTACTTGGAATTATAATTTGAAATTCTAGTCCCTTTTTTTTAGTTCAGTAAAACCACATTCTGCTTATTACCCAGATGCGAATATGCTCCTGAATCAAATCAAGTTGCATTTTCCTTGGCACTCTAGTCCATATCTTGAGTTTCAAATATTATTTTCACACAGACAAGTCTCAAACACCCAGCTAAATGTTGAATTTCCAAAAAACTGCTGGATATATCCACCTGTACACCATACTGCTCCACAAATATCCCCAAGGTGCTACCTAGCATCTTTCCCTCCAAAATCCACGTCTCTTCCTGACTCACCCATGCCTATGATCAGAAGAACCATGCTCTAAGTCATCCGTGCTCAAGACTTCAGTCATCTTTAACATCTCTCTGTTTCTTACCACTGCCTGTGAGATCTCCTCAAAAAAACAAAAAAATCTGAGTCAGGAATGATAATACACACCTGTAGTCCCAGCTACTCAAGAAGCTGAGACAGGATCACTTGAGCCCAGGAGTTGGAGGCCAGCTTGCACAGCATAGCAAGACTTCATCTATAAAAAAATAAGTAATTAATTAGATAACAGTCTAGGTCTAATTGCTTATCTATACAGTGTCTGTACAGTTTACCTTTCACTTCATACTCAAATTACATAATATAAAGAACAAATCCCACATCCTCATTCCCAGTTCCACACCCCACTATCTTCCACATGGGTCCCTGGAACAGCTTCCCAGCTCTTCTGTCTACCTCCAGTCCCTTCTGCTCTTCAACTATTTCCTGTATGTCAGTTTCTGCTTAAAACTTTTGTCATTTTCCAAGATCTCTAAGTTAGTATTCCCCAACTTAGAATCAAGACCCACCACAGTATGGTCCCAGCCCACCATCCCAACTTGGTCATTGAAGCCTAATGTAGCAATAATAGTTACTGTGTCTTGCTTCTGGAATTCCTGCATGTCATACCCTACTCAAGCTTCAAGGACTATCTCAAATGGTGTCCCTCCCAAAAAAATATCTCTGCCTCTTTCCTGTGGAGTCTAACCATTCTTCCTCTGAACCTTTTTCATAGCACTAACACAATGGGCTTTGCACTAGAGTTGGCTCTGTATAAGTCAGCTCCCAGGAGGAGGACAAGAGCCATTCCTTCTTCAGGCAGCCTCCTGAAGAGTGTTCCTCATAGAAATTCTTCCTATCTTGACTCTTGAATGAATGAAAGAATGAATGGATACACTGATAAACAATTACTAGGCCTTGGGGGCTGGGACTTGCCCAGGTCTAAGTCACCTTGCTCTGGAGAATATTTGTATCAGGATGCATACAGCAACAAATAATGGAAAACCTGACTAGCATCAGGTTATAAAAATACAGAGTACCTCACTTACAAAGTTCAGAGTTAGCTGTTTAGTAGTCAATAGTGTCATCAAGGACCTATGTTTTCTGTCTTTCTCCTCTGCTGTCCCCAATGTGTAGGTGATATCTCCTCATGTATACAGAAGTTTACTGCAGTTCCAAATGTGTCATCCCCAGAAAAGAGCATCCCAGGTAGGAAGAGGGGAGGCAGGATCAAAATAAGTTTTCTTCCTGTGCTTTCTTCCCTTTTGTCAGAAAGGAAAATGTTTCCCAAGAAGCCCCTTGGACGGGCTGCTAGTCAGTTTGTATGTACCAATATTGCATATTCTTGGGGTTCCGTTCTGATTGATCTATACCCATGCATATTGATTGTTAAATGTTTTGAGTATCAGCCTCGCCCCTAAAGACTTCTTACACTTCATTGCTGGAACATGGCCATGTGAAAGAGACTGAGAAAACAAATAGGTTTTTTTTTAACATTTGTAGTGGCAGGTGGACAAGAGAGAGTATTATTAGGAATGACTGCCTTGATACTCAATGACTACATAGTGTTGAATTAAATATTACAAACGAATACTATGATACCCTTAGTTTATTTTAAATCCACTAACAAAAATATAAAAACAATTATAAATGGGTTCTACTGAGTTCACTATTGAGTGTTGTACTGTGCATGGTTTTATTTATTCTTATTTTTTTAGAGACTAGGTCTCACTGTGTTGCCCTGGCTGGCCTTGAACTCCTGGACTCAAGTGATCCTCCCACCTCAACCTCCTGAGTAGCTAGGACTATAGTTCTGCACCACCATGCCTGACTGTACTGTACATTGTTTTAACTTGTCTACTAGGAACAATTGTTTTCAGTCTCTCTTGCCTCAAATTTCTTTTTATCTCATTCAAGATAGAGAAAAGCATTTAAATGAGGATTAATGGGTCACAACCCCCATGGAAAACTACTACTCAGTGTAAAGGACTCTTTTGTTCATATGTTTACAATAAGCTGAAATAAGAAGGTTTATTTAATTTAATCAATTAATGACAGATATCTGATACATTGGATGTATACTTTCAAAATCTCTGCCAAACATTTCTTATAGAGGGCACAGTTAAATATTGTATGATGCCTGTGTTTAACTCCCCTTCCCCCCCACCACCACCACTCTCCACCCCACTGTGACTAAGTCACCTATTTTTTCACTAAAAGAAAAGTAACTCCTACTACTGTAAGTGTGATCCTTAGAACAACAGCAACAACAGCCTCAGGGAGCTCATTGGAAAATCAAACTCTTGCACCTTACCCCAGACCTCCAGAATCATCATCTACATGTTAACAAGATCCCCACGTGATTTGTATGAATATTAAAATTTGGCACTGGTCTAACCCTCAATCAACCCTTAGCCCACTGTAAGAGATTACCTGATTTGCAAATGTCAATATAGGCCAATATTCCCCAAATCATTAGGGACAGAGTAAGAAAGATGAAGACAGAGTCTGTAATTCAATTGCTCGCTTTCCCCACAGTCAAGACAGACATGTTTTTATAGTGAAAACAAATCACTCAAATGTACAGCTCTGACAACTTCCAAATAAGCTAACGGCTTCTGAAGTAAGCACAGCAATTGATGTGGTTAAACTGCCACATTCCTCAGAAAGTCCCCATGCTTCTTATAAACCTACCCTCCCTACTTGCCCTTTGTCCACACCACACACACACACACACACACACACACACACACACACACACACACACACACACACTAGCAAGTTTGGCTAGAGCCTGCTTCCGATAAATGAGGTTTAGAAATAAAACCTCTTTAGGGACAGTCTTCCTACTTCCAAACCAGCTTATCTGCAGTTTCCAAAAGGAAGAGCCTGACATTATTATTGGGCACAGTTGATCCATACGTTGTTAGAAAACTTTCTGTGGTATCACAGAAGTAGAATATTAGGTTGAATGGTCCACTGGGTCAAATGCAGCAGGGCTAATCATGACTGTTTCTGCTCTACTTCTCTTTTCTTTTTCTTTCTTTCTTTCTTTTTTCCTTTTTAGTTGGAGTCTCACTCTTTTGCCCAGGCTGGAGTACATTGCCCACCGCAGCCCTAACCTGCTGGACTCAGGTGATCTTTCCTCCTCAGCTTTTCAAGTAGCTGTAACTACAGGCGTGTGCCATCACAACCAGCTAATTTTTTTATTTATTGTAAAGACAGGGTCTCGCCAAGTTGCCCAAGCTGGTCTTGAACCCCTGGTCTCAGGCAATCCTCTTGCCTCTGCCTCCCAAAGTGGGATTACAGGCATGCCACCACACCTAGCTCTGCTCTACTTTTCAAAGAACATTTTATTTTATGCAATTGGAGAAAGGCCATTTGGACATGGAAGTTGCTTGGGAGAGATTGGAAGGATAGTGTGTCTTAAGATCCAAACTCTACACACAATGCTAGAGCTCAAAGATGAATGAGCCTCTTCTGGAACAGTCTACAGTCTAAGAGGAAGGTACATAAAATTGCAACCAGACATGGGTAAGTTCCAGAAGAGCAGAGGCTACCACTTTCTCAATAGCTAGTGAAATCCCAGAGACAGATCGTGGAGCATGATGGCCACTGTTCTCATCTTTCTTTATCCCATCTTTCTTTATCTCTGAACATCTTGTATATCGGGCATGCTTCTTAAGCCACATAATTTCCTCTTTTTGCTAACAGATGGTGTATACTATACCTGCAGTACTGACCCTGCTTGTTGGATTTAACCCTCTTGTCACAGGTATAAACTTTACATTCTAAATGGAGACATAACAAATTCTTACAGTAATGAGACCCTATCTGCCCACTTCCAGGACAAAAACAGGGTTCCCTAGGCCTTTCCTCTTATTTCTGATCACAAGAGGGCTAATTCTATTCTAGATCATCTTTACCCATCTTCAAGAAAACTTCACAAGGACTTGCTGTACAGAGGCCTTCTTTATAAATTTGGACCCAAGACCTCTGATGCTGATGTAGAATCATGGTTATGTAGTTTAGCCTAAGAGAGAGAGAAACTAATGCAAAATCATTACAATCTATGTGCAACAACAATCTTCGTGCTAATCTTGTATCCTCATACTTAGTGGCTGTCAGCGCCTATTATATATTTTCTGTTTACAAGCTAGTTCAACCTTTTTTTTTTTTTACAAATTCATCTTAGAGCAATACCATGCCCATTAATTACTTCCTTATTTTGAACTACTCAACACCTACGTATATGAACCACTACTTAGGTATAGAAATTGTTTATGTCTATAACAAATCTCTAGATTTTTCATTAATATATGTTGCTCTTCCTAATGTCTCATGTACCGTTATGGTACTTGCAGCAATGCATTGCATACTTTTGTGTATGTTTCCTCCTACTAGGCTATAGGCCCCTTAAAAGCAGGATCATGTCTTGTGCATCCTTGCATAAGCCTTAGTCTATTCAAAAATCTCATAGACTGGGTGGCTCATAAGGACAGACATTTATTTATCTCAATCCTAGAGGCTGGGAAGTCCAAAGTCAAGGTGCCAGCAGATTACCCATTTATGATTTATAAGTGACAACTTTTCTCTGTATCCTCACATGGCAGAAGAAGCAAGTGAGCTTTCCAGGGCCTCTTTTATGAGGACAGCAATCCCATTCATGAGGACGCCACCCTCATGAACTAATTACCTCCCAATTAGGCCCCATATCCTAATAATGTCATCTTGGGGGTTAGGATTTAAACATGGATTTGAGGGGACATAAACATCCAGTCCATAACAACATGGCCAGGCCTGTGGTAAGTACTTAATGCTTATTGAATGAATAAGTGACTATAAAATAGGGTTTTTCATATACTTGTTCTGTAACCTACTTCTTGGAATCTGTACACGAACATCCCAAGTGGGTATACATGTGAAAAATTTAATTAAAATAACTGGTTTGTATTGCCCACAAGCTACCTAACTCAATGCTGAGCAAAATGTAGCTGCTTTGCCTTTTATGGCCCTAAAAACCTCTCAACGAACTTTAAGTTGGACAGTTTTCTACTATAAAACTGTGTGTTGTAACAGAAAAAATACATTTTACTTTCGTTACTATTATTAACACTTTCTTATTATTGGGCACTATTAGTCCTGACAGATTCTTTTTCAGTTTCGTTAAAACAGCTTCTGCTAGTGAGGCTTGAACATTCTTGGAGGTCTTAGAATAAAGACTAATGATTCCTACCTTGGTGGGAAAAATTCTAGTTCTCTAGATGGCTGGGCATCTTGTACAGGCCCCTTGAACTCTGTCACATATTTAAGGTAGATCAATTAGGGTTATTTTAGTTTCAAGCTAGAAAAAAAAAAAACTCAACTGTACTATGAACTAAGAAGAAAATGAATTGGTACAGTCTACTGAAAAGGCTAGGGGTGGTGCTGACTTCAGGTACTGATGGATTCAGAACTTAAACTTCTCTCCACCTCTCAGTTCTACTGTCTGCCATGCTGACTAATCTTCCAGGCTCCGAATGGTATCCCAGAGCTCCCAGCTCACGGAGCTGGTCTCACCTTTCTATACCTAAGTGGTAGATCATATACATAAGTGATGAATAATTCAAAATAATAAAATGATTAACGGGCATGGTATTGCTCTGACCAGGATCTAACCTTCAACACACCAAGTCCAACAGAATGTAGATTGTTTCTTTACTCCACCAAAGTCTCAGAATTGAGTTGGTCTGAACTGATCTTCTGTTTGCCCTGAGCCAGATCACTATGGCTGAGGGGATCAAATACATTGATTGACCTAGCTAAGGTCCAGTTTGGTGGGATTCATGGACCAGGAGTGTGGACAGGGTAGATTCCCAAAGAAAATAAGGATGACCGTCATAGGAAGGGGAGATGCTGAGCAACCCAAAGAAGAAATGTCCACTTCAGATTATATTGAATGCTATGACCTCTGTGTTGTCCCTAAAGAAAATAAATAAATTTGGAATGCATTTTCTAAAAGCAGACTATAGCAAAACAGGTATAAAGAGATCATTTTTCTGTAGGATGTGATTCCATGGCTAATAGCATCAGGATGTCTATTTTTAGGTAACATTATTTGGAAGAGTGTCTCTGCAATACACATATTCTTCTGTGCATTGTGGGCTGTTGGCTTGGCATACTACTTCCTGCTTCATACACAACAGAACATCTTACACGAGGAAGAAGGCAGGTGAGTAGTGACTTTTGCTCTTTGGAGGGGTGGAGCTGTTTCTGAGAAATCTTGTATTCCTTCACAACAACTTATCTATACACAATATGACTAAGCTCCCCCTAATATACCATGAGGAACAGGGAAGATATTATCTCTTTTATAAGCTGATGAAACTGAGGAAATGAAGGAGCCAGGATTCAATCCCAGCACTATCTGTCAGGCTCCACTATTTACTACCACAGGCAGTCATTAAATACTATGTTATATTACAGTCAGGCAGTTGGACCTTGGCCTCCTTGGAACCAGCAAGGGTGCTATACAGCAGTACTCAGACCAACCTAATAAAGTGATAACTCTTTTAGCATTCTGATTCACTTCTGATTTAAACCACAATATTATCTGCTAGTGGGGATCAGCCATCTCAGAGGTCAGAAGTTTGTCAACCTCTGTTAGACTCACACTGGTATGTCTTGTGTTATTGTCTCCCTTTGTCATAACCATTTGTTCACATTTTTATCAACTCTTCCTACCACCCTTAAACTTTGGCCTTGTTAATAGCCCTTTCCTTTAGGCCCTAATCCTTAGAAAACTGGAGAGCACATCAGGTGGGGTCTGTAGATGAGAATGTAAACCAAATGGGTTGAATCACCTCCAATGTAAAGCCCATGAATTTTAGTGAGTTCAAGGTGGGGCTTCTAGCAGTACTATGGCTGAATATGATTTTTCTAATTCTAGAGAAATGTGCTTACAGTAAATACATATATCTAGGAGCACATATCCACCCCAGTATTATTAGTTTGACTTATACTCTAAATCATTCCTCTCTTAGGAAGTTACTCAATCTTTTGCAATATGTGTGCTCAAATTATGTACTGTTTTAAGTTTATCCTGCCTAATACTGAGGCCTCTAAAAAATATAAAAATAATGACTGATCAAATCTGGGGTTGTTTTCTTAGTTTTACTATTCCTCCCAGTGACCTGAAATAAACGATGTATCTGTGTAATTTTTAAAATATGTATTTCAATTTTGTGAAGGCCCACTTAAAAATTAGGGAACAGCCATGGATTTTGTATCTGCCTCTTAAGATGAATTTTATTTACAGATAAGGCTTTAAATGGTCTTTAAAAAGTATTTTATGAGCCATGGCCAGACTTGAAAATGTTCTGAGGATGCTATGTATCTCAGTGGAAAATCAATTCAAGCAGAATGCACTATCAAGTGGTCATGAAGAGAGCATGATGATATGCATCTCACTTGCATCCACTTCCAAAATATGAAATGTGTGCTGTTTTACAGGGAGCTCTCTGGTCTGGTGATTATCACAGCATGGATGAGCCTATGTCGCAGTTCATCCAAGTAAGTATTCAACTCATCAGTTAAAATGAGGAGTTTTCATGGTTGACAAAATCAAATAAGAAGTAAAAATATGAGCCGGGCTTGGTGGCTCAGCCTGTAATCCCACGCCTTTGGGAGGCTGAGGTGAGTGGATTGCCTGAGCCTGCGGGTTCGAGACCCGCCTGGGCAGCGAGACCTCATCTCAACAATAAAATCACAAAATCAGCCGGGCGTGGTAGCACGCGCCTGTAATTCCGGATACTTGGAAGGCTGAGGCAGAAGGATCGCCGGAGCCCAGCAGGTCGAGGCTGCGGTGGCCGGGAGCGGCCACTGCACTCCAGTCTGGGCGACAGAGTGAGACTCCAACTCAAAAAAAAAAAAGAAGTGAAAATATGGACACATAAGTGAAAACAAGAGTCTTTAGAAAGAAATGCTTCATTTTCCAAAAAGAAATTAATAAGAGCTGGTTCAAAGATTCATGATCATTCATGTTCATAAATGCCATAGTTTTCTATGTGGCCAAGTGTAGTCATAAGCAGTCGCCAGCCTAAAGGGTGTTCTTCAGAATAAAGGAAAATGGTCTCAAGAGAAAGTTTGAAGATTCAGGAAAGAATAAAGAACAAAGAAAATATAAGTATGTGAGCACATATTAGTGAATATTAACTTATAAAACAATAATAATAATGTTTTTTGAGACTTAAACATATATAGGATAAAAATACATGACAACAGTAGTATGTAAGTTGATTGTCTGGAAAGAGGTAAAAGGTCCATTTATTAGACTTTGATGTTGTAATTCTTAGGATAATCACTAAAAGAGTTTTAAAAATGGTTATTGAAAGCCAGAATAGAGAGGGATAAAAACAGAATAAGTGGGACAAGTAGGAGGCATACGTTAAGATAGAGATTTAAACCCAAATATATCAGAAATTCCATTAATTACATTATAAATGTACCATATATTCCAGCTAAGAGTCAAAAAATTTCAAGGTGTTTAAAAATATCAAAAACCCAACTCTGCAGTGTTTACAAAAGACAATCATTAAATATACAGGTACAGAAAGATTTAAAGTCAAAAGATAGAAAAAATGTACTATGTAAACACTAACCAAATGAAAGCTACTATAACAATTTTAATAGCAAAATAGACTTTAGGGCAATTATTCAAGAAAAACAATTCATGTAAATATTTTGAAATATTTTAATTTTTTATTTCAAAACTTTTCAAACGTATGCAAAAGCAGAGACTAATATAATAAATCAGATGTACCAATCACCTAGCTTCAACAATTATCAATATTCCAGGTACAGTGGCTCATGCCTATAATCCCAGCACTTTGGGAGGCTGAGGCAAGAGAATTACTTGAAGCCAGGATTTCGAGATCAGCCTGGGCAGTATAGCAGATCCCATCTATACAAAAAACTTTAAAATTAGCTAGGTGTGATGGCATATGTCTGTAGTCCTAGCTATTGGGGAGGTTGAGGTGGGTCACTTGAGTCTAGGAGTCTGAGGCTACAGTAAGCTACAATCACATCACTGCCCTCCAGTATAGGTGACAGAGCAAGACCCTGTCTATAAAAAAAAAAAAAAAAGGAAAATAGATATGGATGAATGAATGGATGGATGGATAGATAGATAATGTAAAATATCTACATGGCTCCAAAGTTTAATCTACAAAATAAGATATATTAAAAATAAATCTGATATAGGGGGATATCTTCTCTAGCCCCCTAGCCCTATATCTGCCCTTTTTCTATAGATGAAAATTTTCAATTATATGGTTTGTCCCCCCATGACTTTTTAATGAAGCAAATATGTGCATTTATTTGTATTTCTGTTTGTCTCAGATAAGTGGTAATACATTATACACAACTGTATTCCACTTTCCTTTTTCCCTTACTTCAGCCTAGAGATCATTCTACAGTATATAAAGACTTTCCTTATTCCACTGATAGCTCCACAGCTTATTCAAGCAGGCCTCTACTATTCACATTTCATCCTGTGTTTTGCTACTGAAAATAGTGTGTACATGTATCTAACATATTTTTACCACTGTATCCTTGGAATGAATTCCCAGAAATGAGATTGCTGGGTCAAAGTGTAATTGCAGAGTTAATATTCTATAAAGTCCCAAATTCCACTTCTTATGAGTTCCTCCAATTTGTATCCCCACTAGCAATGAATGGAAGTGCATGTTTCCCCACAGCCTTGCCAACAGAGTGTGTTGTCAAAATTTTGAATTGTTAACTCATTGAATAGTTTTGAGAAAGGGGTAGTTTTAATTTGCATTTCTCTTACTAAGAGCAAAGGTGAGCACATTTTCATATGGTTAAGAGACATTTGCATCTTTTTCAATAAAATGTTGGTCCATCCCTGAGAGATGTAGATTTAACCTGATTTTCTCTAAGGTTGGCAGTCTTCTCTATTTTTAAAGCTCTCTATATACTAGGGCTATTAATTTTTTGTGATATAAGATGAAAATGTTTTTGCAATTTGTTATTGTCCTTTTATTTTGCTTATGCAAAGTATACTTTATTTTGCCATGAAAAAGTATTTTGTTGTTGTTATTTTAATGTAATCATATTTATCAATCCTTTTCCTTATTGCTTCTGGATTTGGAGTCATAGTATAGTTAGGAAAACTTTCCTCGCTCTCAGGTTATAAAGTAACTCACCTATGTTTTCATCTAATAAATGTATGGTTTCATTTTTACATTTAAATATTTGATCTATTTAGAATTTATCCTGATGCAATGGTATAAAGAATGGATCCAATGTTATATTTTTCTATATAACTATCTGGTTATCACAGCACCACTTATTAAAAAGCAGATTTAGGCCAGGCATAGTGGCTCATGCCTATAATCCCAGCACTTTGGGAAAGCTGAGGTGAGAGGATCGCCTGAGCCCATGAGTTCGAGACCAGCCTGGGCAACTTGGCGAGACCTCATCTCTACAATAAATTTTTTTAAAAAAATTAGCTGGGCATGCTGGTACACACCTGTAGTCCCAGCTACTTGGAAGGCTGAAGTAGTAGGATCGTCTGAGCCTAGCAGGTCGAGGCTGCAATGGCCGTGAGTGTGCCACTGCACTCCAGCCTGGGAGGCAATGAGACTCCAACTAAAAAAAAAAAAAAAAAAGTGGATTTAAAATGCCAAGGAAAGATACTTTTAGTGACAAAAGTTTCAGTTCATCAAGAAGATAGAACAACTTTAATATAGCCTCTAAATAGATACAACAAAAATGAACTAAAAAGAAAAACAGAAAAATCCACAATTATCTTGGGAGACTTTAACACACTTCTCTCAGTTACTAATAAACAGGCAAAAAAATCAATGAAGATATAAAAGATTTTAACCATACTGTAAGAAACCATGAATAGCAGAATTTCCATTCTTTTCAAGGATACATTATTTACAAAAAAACTATATGTTAGGCAATGAAATAAGTCCCAATACATTTCCAAAGACTGAAATCCAATAGAGCACTGTATGTTCTTTGACCACAGTATAATTGAGCTAGAAATCATTAACAAAAATTAAAAATAGGCAATCACTGTATATCTGGAAATTAGGAAATACACTTTGAAATAAAATTTGGGTCAAAGAAGAAATCACAATGGAAATTAGAAAATATTTTGAACTACATAAGAAGAATATTACGTATCAAAATTTGTGGGATAGAGCTACAAATCATGTTTCAAGGGAAATTTATAACCTTAAGTACATACTTAAAAAAAAAAAAAAAACCTCCAAGAAGCTAGGAAATTTTTCAGTTCAAGAAGTTAGGAAAAAAACCAGCAAGTTAAATCCAAAGAATCATGAAGAAAATAAATATAAAAGCACATGTCAATGAAATAAAGATCAACATTAAAAATAGAGAATTAAAAAGGCCAAATATCAATTATCTAAAATGATATATAACATTAAGAGCCCTAGCAAAAATAAAAATAAAAGAGCAAGAGAGGCACAAATGACAAAGATCAGGAATGAAAAAGAGAGTACTACTATATATCTAATAAATACTATAAAAATCATAAGATGATATTATGAAGAACTTTATGCCAAAAAATTTGAAAATATAGATTAAATGGGCAAATTCTTTGAAAAAATACAATTTAGCAACACTTACACAGGAAGAAACACTCAGAACAGTTTCATAACTATTAAAGAAATTGAGTTCATAATTTAATTTTTTTCTAAAGAAAACCTCTAGACCTAGATGGTATAACTGAGAAAGTCTACCTAACATTTAAGGAAAAACAATGGCAACTTTCAACAAACACTGCCAGACAACAGAAAAAGAAGAAACACTTTCCAACTCCTTTTATGAGGGCAGATAATCTTAATACTAAAACTTGACAACAATACCAAAAAAAGGAAATTACCCAGCAATCTCAGTCATAACCACAGATGGGAAAATCCTAAACAAAACATTAGCAAATCAGATACTGCAATATATAACACAACTAAGTTGCAGTTTATTCTAGGAGTATAATGTTAGTTTAACACTTAAAAACAACCAACCTTTCCACAACATTAACAGAATTTTTAAAATAATCTATCAGTGCCAGCTAATACAGAAAGAGCATATGATAAAATTCAACATCCACTCTTGATAAAAGCTTTTAGAAAATGGTTGCAGAAGGGAATTTAATCTGAAAAAGGGCATCTGTACCAAAGCATGATACTTTATGGTGAATTGTTGAAAACTTTCCCTCTGAAATCAGGAACGAGTTGAGGTTGGCCATTATTCCCACTTTGACAGTACTAGCTATTGTCCTAGTCAGTATAATAAGGCAAGAAAAAGAAATAAAAGTCCAAGGATTAGAAAGGGAGAAATAAAATTTTCATTCTTTGTGGGTGACATGATTACATATGTAAGAAATAAAAAAAGAATCTAAAAAATTACTAGAATGAGTTTACCATGATTGCTGCATACTCAATGTACAAAAATTAACTGCAGTTATATCAGCAAGTAACAAAGTGATAAAAACAAAGTTACCATTTATATTAACATAAAAAAATCAATTCCCTGTGAATAAATCTAGCAGAGATGTGCAAAATCTCTACACAAAAAAATCTCTACACAAGACATTATGAAATTAAAGAAGACTTAAAATATTGGAAGCCTAAACCTATACTGTCAAAAGGATAAATAAATGAAATAATGGAATAGAACAGAATCCAGAAACAGATCTACACATATGTAGATCTTTGACTTATGACAAAGGTGGTACTGCAGAGTAGAAAGGAAAGGCAGTATTTTCAATAAACAGGTCTAGGTCAACTTAGTATTCTTATGGGAAAAAAGTGTAACAACCCCTACTTTACAACTTTCATAAAAATCAATTCCAGGGGGATTGTAGATCTAATATAAAAAAGCAAAACAATAAAACTCTAGAGAAAGTAATTTAATATCTTCAAGACCTTGAGAAAGTTTTCTTAAACAGAACACAAAAATCAATAGGAAAAGATCAATTTTAACACTTTCTAATTATTCAACGACTTCTGTTCCTCAAAAGACATAATTGAGTGGGACAAGAGTTTTACATACAAACAAGCATTTGTATTAAGAATATATATAGCTGGGCTCGGTGGCTCAGCCTGTAATCCCGCGCCTTTGGGAGGCTGAGGTGAGTGAATTGCCTGAGCCCGTGGGTTCGAGACTCGCCTGGGCAGCGAGACCTCATCTCTACAATAAATCAAAAAATTAGCTGGGCGTGGTAGCGCATGCCTGTAATTCCGGCTACATGGAAGGCTGAGGCGGAAGGATCGCCGGAGCCCAGAAGGTCGAGGCTGCAGTGGCCAGGAGCGGCCGCTGCACTCCAGTCTGGACGACAGAGTGAGACTCCAACTCAAAAAAAAAAAAAAAAAAAAGAATATATATATTTCTACAATCAATGAATAAGTTATATTTCAATAAAACCATTGAGAAGAGAGCATGCTAAAATGTAATGTTTTACCAACTCAGTCTTTATATTTGTTTCCAAAGCAATTCATAATTTTTGAATTATTTATAATAATTTTTGTGTCTTTATAGGAATCCGGTTGGTGGAAGAATTCAATTGGCCACTGCCATTGTAATAGCTCTTTTCCCGTTTATCTTATGGGTCTATGTATACATTAACAAGGAAATGCGGTCCTCCTGGCCAACTCACTGCAAGACAGTAATTTGAAGAAATTCAAGAATCTTGTTTTTAAAATAAATAATTTTTTATAAACATTATGGTAATAAGCCAGCTTCTCAGGAGTTTATTTCAGGTAATTTGAGCTAATAGAGATAATTTTTTTGTTTTTAATCCTAACAACTTTTTAAGACTGTCTACAATTAAATGTAAGATTGAATGGGACTAGTAAGAGACAGGGTCTGACATTTTCTTGGAGCCTTTATTTAAAGGGTATTGTGTCACAGTGCAGTGGAAAAGGCACTAGAACAAAGTTTCTAAATTCAACTTCTCTATATGACTTGAGCAAATCTATAAACCCCCTGGTGGCTATTTCCTTATCTATAAAATAGGATTAGTACCAGATCTCTTACTTATAGTTACAAGGATCAAACTAGGTAATACTAGAGCACTTTGAAAATATAGTGTTTACAAAATTACACCTGATTCAAATAGAGGGGAGCAGAGTGGGTAATATACGGAAATTACTGAAATAGAAGTTCAAGAGAGGGCTATAGCCTTGAACTAATCTTATACTGAACTGGTACAAACTAAATGAGAACACTAGATGAACCACATTAACAGGCATGTCTTAGAAAGAAAAGTTGGGTAGAATAAAAGAATTTGGAACCAATCCAGAAGGAAATAGGGAATATAATTACAATCTAAATGAGAAATAAGGTTAACATCTATGCATTCTTTTTAAATGGATAACCCTAGGAAAGAGAGCATTGCAGAGTCACACGCTCCAGAATGGAAGCCACAAGCCACAGGTTGTGACTTGAACACTTGAAATTGGCTAGAGTGACTGAGAAAGCAAATTTTTAATTCTTTAAAATTTCATTTTAATTTAAAAACTGATACTCAATTATTAGAAATTCTTTTAAATGTATTTGGAACAACTTGAGTATGTAAATCTTTTTCAACTGTAAGTTTTATGATACCTAAATACAGATCAAGTATTTCCAGTGAAAATTGTGTCCTGTAAGTGTAAAATACACACTAGATGTTTTTTTCTCCTCCTCTATACTCCGAAAAACACACTAGATTTTAAAGACATGGTACAAAACGAATATTTTTATATTGATTACGTATTTAAATAATAACATTTTAGATCTATTGGGTTAAATAAAATATACTAAAATTGATTTTATCTGTTTCTATGTACCTTTTAAAATGTGACTGCTAGAATATTTTAAATTATTTATGTGGCTCACGTCCCTTTTGGAAAGCCCTTTTCTAGAGCATCTGAATGGCTACTTTTTTACATGTGCTAGTATTAAACTAGTATTCCTTTCTTTTTATGACAGCAAATTACACATATTCATATTTATAGACTCTGTCTCACTCATGCTGAGGTCTGTGGATGCAGGAATACATTATAGTCATTTCTGTGGTCAGCTGAATAATAGCCCACAAAGATATCCAGATCCTAATCCCTGGAACCTAAGTTACTTTATATAGCAAAATGAATTCTGCAGATGTGATTAAAGATCCTAAGATGAGGAATACCTGGATTATCTGGGTGAGCCTTAATATAATCACAAGTGTCCTTATAAGAGAAGGCATAGGGAGATCTGACTCCACAGACAGCACAGAGTGATATGACAACAAAGCAGAGATTTGAAGATGCTACACTGCTGGCTTTAAAGATGAAGGAGGGGGCCACAAGCCAAGGAACACAAGAAGTGCAGCTCTGGAGGATGGAAAAGTCAAGGAAAAGGATTCCTCCTCAGAAAGCATGATCATGCCAACACCTTGGTTTCAGTCCAGCAGAAATGATTTCAGACTTCTGACCTCCAGAACTGTAAGAAAACAAATATGTGTTGTTTTAAGCCACCAAGTTTTGGTAATTTGTTACAGCAGCCATAGAAAACTAATTTTCTTTATATCCCCATAGTGCCTAGTACTCAAAAGACACACTTATGTTGACTAATATTTCTCTTAATGGTTTTTAGGCCCTGAATCACGCTTTGTCTACACTCGAATAGTCCCCATTTGCCATCTAATGTTTCTGCAAGTAAGCTTTTGCATATATGACAATGGAGTAAACATGTCCCATTTGTCTATAAAGGGAGTCGGGTATAAATTCATTTACCTACTGTAGCCTCAGACAGCACTAGCTGGTGGCCCAAACAGACCAAGTTAGCAGGCACACAGCTGCACCAGCAAACTTAATTCTGCTTTGGTTAGAACACAAGAGGAGCACATGACTTCTCTGGAGACGCTTCTTACAGAGATAAGAGTGCCACACATTCATTTGTAAAATAACTACAGAAGTGGGAATACAAGCCCATAAAAGTCCAAGTATGGGTATTCTGAGCAAAACCGTCCAAAGCTCATTTACACAGCAGAGTGAACAGAAAGTTTACCTGGGCCTATTTTGTACTATGAATATTAAGCTATATAGTTAATACATAAATACATTTTTCATGTAAAAAAAGAAAAAAAAATCAGGTAAGGCCAAATTAAGTCCCTTACAAAGATTATATCCCTTGCCTCAGTCTTCTACCTGGTTTGTTTCTAACTTACACTGGATACACTATTCAAAATGCTATTTCTGAATATTTTATCAACTAATGCACAATGAAGTCATAAATTTTGTTATGCAAGCAGAATACTAAACAATGAGATTGAGGATTTTTATTTTTATTTTTATTTTTGTTAAGGGGAAACAAACAAAAAGCTCATTCTCTATCAAGTTAAACAAAAGAGATCAGACTAAAAATGGAAGGCTCTTTCCTTCTTGTAATTCATAATTCTGTCTGGAACTCTGCCTCTCCCTTCCAACATCATTTTGTCAGGATAGACATGAACTGTGCCAAAAGCTTGGCTGTCTGGCGCTGTTTCAATAACCCCTTCTAGGTTGACGTGATGCACACCAAAAGGATCCTCAGAATAGCCACCGTCGTGAGTGTGACCGGCAAAGAAGCACACCACACATTCATGAGACCAAATCACTGCCAGGGCATCTCTGTAGTTCCAGGCCAGGCACACACTGTCAGAAGACTCTGGGTAAATGGGAAGGTGGCCTGTTAAAGAAAAGAAGAGTTACGAGCCAATTAAATATCTGTTCTATCTACATAAGTGGCTAAAAACTAGTACTCAGGAAAAAAAGCTTGTATTGCTAACTTATCCAAATGGACTAAACCAGAAAGAATCCACACACATGAAGAACTAGGCCATCTATAGCTAAGTCTCTGAAGCACAGAAAGAAGGCTGAGACAGTCTACACGGGGTGGGAAAGAGGCTGCTGTAGAGGCAAAGCCTTGAGGTCTACAAGGCCTGTGTGAAGTCTCAAGCTGCCCAAACACTGAGGAATATTGAAAGAGTCCTGTGCAGGGCAGTATGCAGACGGCCAGAAATCAGGCAAATGCTGCACTGGAATTCAATCTCACTGATTTCCTTAAATATGAATGTTATAAACACAGAAAGATGCAATACTAAATAAAAAATAGTTTGGGGATGAGCCATGGATTATATGTCATTTATATAAATACTCAATGCCTTAGAACTGATTCATAGGACTTTAAACACCCCAATGAGATCAAGGAGGCCATACCTATTTTACAGATGAAAAACTGAGTTATAGCAGGGAAGGTTCATTCTGGTGTCCCACAGGAAATGTGTAGAAGTAGAGCCAGAAGAACTTCAAATTCCTGATGCCAACACATCTATGAACCCATACCACATATCAATCAGGCCACAGTTTTCACTCTAAAGTACAAGTACCATAGCTCACTGGTCTTTGCTTCTTCCCATTAAATAACTTTTCTTTTTTTCTGCTACTCTTCATTTTTATTCTTAAATTTAAACATGCTTCTGCTTAATATCTTATTTGTTTTTAATACAAGTTAAAAAAAAAAAAAAGTAGGGGGCTGGGGGGAGGTTAACAAAACCCTAAAGCAGGAGAGGAAAGTACATGCATGCACACACATGTGCACACACACACACAAACATACCACTCTGATACCACCCTAAGGCTAAGAGAACTGTGGCTTTCTAGTACCCAAAAGTCATATTCACTCATCTATCAAGTCCCTGCAGCATCTGACATAATTAGTTGCTTCTTTCTTGAAACACATGGCTTCTAGGATACATTCGTTTTCCTAGTAATATCTTCCTACTTTTCTCCCAACCTCAATGGCCACTAATGTCCAATCTCCTTTGCTGGTTTCTCCTCATTTCCCTAGTGTCTTATCAAGAGTGTCTGAATGCTTGGTCCTTTGACTTCTCTACCTACATCTAATGTGCCTTAATAATTTCTTGGTGATGTACATGCTTTAAATATCATTTATATTCTTTCACCTTCCACATTTATACACCTAGCTCCCAAATCTCTATTTTGAAAATTCGGACTCTGTGTCTGAATTGCCCACTCAACATTTCTGCTAATGTCTAAAAGGTATATGAAACTTAATATTTCCAAACCTGAACCCCTGCCCTCTCCACTCAAACACCTCATCCTGCAGTGCTCCCCGTCTAAGCTCATGGGAATCCTATCCCTCCAACGGCATGGCCAAAACTAAAAAAGTAGGCAAAATGACCTCTGAGTAGTTACAATGAAAGTTAAAAGGCAAACAAAAACAAAAGAAATTTGTATTAAACTTTCCCTTTTAAAACTTACTAAAAAAAAAACTGAGTAAATCAGTTGTTAAGTTTGCTTATTCAGTTCTAAGCTTAAAGCAGATGGTGGAAGAAATTTAAGAGACTGCTAAAGTTGATAGGTGTATGCCATCAGTAAAAAGAAAAGAGAAGAATACAGGATGAAGTGGAAAAGGAGATTGGGATGCAAAACATGGATTCTAGTCTCATTCTGTCAGTAGCTGTGTGATTTTGCTATATAATTTAATCTCTTTAGGCTTCAGTTTCTTTATCTTTAAAATTAAAGGGTTTGGCTACATGCTCTCCAGGCCCCTTTCAGCTCAAGTACTTCTAATGTACTTTCCCAACCTGGCAGTGGGAAATAAAAAGCAGACACAAGTCAAGAAGTACCCCAGTTTCTGAGACCACTTACTATAGAGATGGTGTCACATCATCCCAATAACCCCTGAGGGTACCTTATCTTTGTCAAGCCTTGAATGACACTTGATATTCCAATGGTAGCAGAAACACTCCTGCTCCATCCATGTATTTTTACCACATCAGTGGAAGATCAATAAGTAAAAATTATCTTTATGGAAATATAATTTTATATCATCAACTATGTGAATAGCCTATCATTTTCAAAGGGATTTCATACTTGTAATTTCATTTACTGCACTATTGAGAACATTGCAGTTTGTAGGCTCAATATTTGTCCCGAGTCACAATTCCTATTCACAAGAGCCAGAATGACACCCCATCTTTCTGGCTCTCAGTCTATTTTTCTCATCTATTATGCTACACTGATTCTAATTCTAAAACAAGGACTCTCAGCCCCCAAACCAAGTCCCCCAGCCATGCCACAAATCCAAATTCAGTTATTTGTGTGTGTATATATGTGTGCTCATGCACATGGGCACAAGGGTACTTTAAGCACCTCCAGATTCCTACAGTTTCTGATGGCAGTATATCTGTCAAAAGTGATTCTAAATGAAAATAATATAAATCTAACTTCCTTGTGTCTGTGTGTTAGAGAACTGAAAGTGTTCATTGCCAGCTGAGTCTGTAGCACACATCCCTTATAATTATCAGCTTTACTTCTTCTAGGTAGCAGTGGACTCTCTCTGGTGACCACTTCACAGAGAGGCAGGTCTCCTAAGGCTGAGATTTGGTATGGGGCCTGAATTGAATTTCTAATTTAAAAATTACTCCATCAATTGATCCCATTTGGGGAAACCTTACTTTTTCTTTTTCTTTCTTTTTTTTTTCTTTTGAGTCGGCATCTCACTCTGTTACCCAGACTGGAGTGCAGTGGCAAAATCATGGCTCACCACAGCCTTAAGCTCCTGGGCTAAGGCAATCCTCCTGGCTCAGCCTCCATAGTACCTGGGACTACAGGTGCATACCACCACACCTGGCTGATTTTTTAAATTTTTTGTAGAGACAAGGTCTCACTATGTTGTCCAGGCTGGCCTTGAACTCCTAGACTTAAGCAATCCTCCCACTCAGCTTCCAAAAGTGCTGGGATTACAGGCGTGAGCCAGTGTATCTGGCTTAAAATTCTCCTTTGAAACCTAAAAGGCCAACTCACAGGCTCTAAAACGTGGTATAGTATCTTTGTTATTTTTTAAATTCCTTCATGAATCATCCTTAAATGTTAATCATATATTATTCAGATTGTTTCTCAACAAAAAATTTTAAACTAAGCATTCATTTTATAGAAATAAGTTATGAAAATATTGTTAGTATGCTTTAAAGTCTAACTTTTCCCAATCTCTAAAATGCTAGTGTAATATGATAAACAATTTAAATACTTACTCACAATCACCACCTTTTCTTGGTTTCTGTCAGAGAATGTAAGCACTTCATTCAACCAGTTCAGCTGTTCTTGGCTGAATCCTCCATTAAACTGGACAAATTGGGGCTCAGAAAGTCCTGAAATGAGTTGCGTAAGTCAGACCCATCACATGTTGTGTTTTCCTTCATTTGGGCTTTCAAATTTAGCTAATGTAGGGGCACCTGTTCTGTTCTTGAGGAATATTTGATTAGCAGCAATCAACTTAAAATAGGAAACTACAATTTAGAGAAGCATATAAATAAGTCACACTTTGTCTTATTCCTACTCTTGACACTCCTGCTTACTTTGTTGGCTTTCCATTACATTGAAAATGCAAACTCCTTACAATGTCCACTGAGCCACTATATAATCCTACCCGTTTACACTCCAAAACCATCTTGTACTCCACTAGTCCTTTTCTGTGTTCTTAAATAATGCCAAAGTCTTATTCCACTTAACACTACTGCATTTGTTTTTCCCTCTGCTAGCTCCTTATCCTCGTTCTTTCAAAGGATGACTCCTTCTTGTCATTTAGACGTCAGCTTAAGTGTTTTTCTCCTTGGAGAAGCTTTCTCTGATCACCTAATCTAAAATAGTACCTCTAATCCTTTTCTGTAACTCTCTATACAACATCATACTCTATTTTCTTGGTAGCACTTATCACTTTGGAAATAATCTTGTTTCTGTTTATTATCTGTCTTGCCCACTTACTGTTTTTGTTCCTTTCATGCCATCCATCCATAAAGTAAAGTTATATTATTTACAGCTCTGAACAGCTAGCTCTAGAAAAAATGCTTGGCCTAGAGTAGCATTCAAATATCTTGTTAAATAAATCCATCTTGAATCAACTGTAACCAGTCCCTGTGAGATCAGGTTTATGAGAAATCCTGACCTGAATAACAGTGACAATATACTTTTACCTTAATTGTCCATCTTCCTGCTGAATAAAAAGTAGCTGAAGAATTTAAAGACAATGTATTAGATTCTCAGCTCAAAGGAATAATTCACCTTGAGGACTATTTAATTCCGTATTTGGATTGTGCTCCCTCAGTATCTTCATACACTGCTGGTATTTTGAAGAGGACTGATCCATGCCCAAGACACTCAAGTCATAAGCATCAAGTAAAATGAACCGGAATTTAGGGAATGGTACAAAATGATAAGCATAATAATCTTCTGAAGGCATGGTCTCAGGATGATGTACAATTTGGTCTTCCAGAAACTTTGTGTTAAGTTTAGAGTTTGTTAAGTAGTCTCTACTGAAGTTATAGAATTCATGGTTTCCCCATGTATGATGAACTGGAACTTTCAGCTTCTTGAATGTGTCCATAACAAGTTCTAGGGACTTTTCTGATACTTCATACTGTGCATTATATCCATCAATGATATCTCCCAGCTGAAGAACACAACAGGGTGTGCTGCTTTCATTATTCCAGTCTTCAATAGCACCCTGTAAGTGAAGAAGACTATGTCTGTAGTATCGCCGCCTGTTTCCTTGGAAATTATAGCCATCTTCTAAATCAGCATATTGAATATCTGCTATAACTCCAAAGGAGAAGAGACGCTCTGAACTCTCACTTGGGGCTTCAGGTTTGGGCTTATCATCCATAACCTCCATTCAGGTTTCTAAATAAACTAAAAAAGATAATGAAGTTAGAAACATCTTAATTTCCTAAATTGACTGTAGAAAATGGCAAAATGAGTGTCAAGCTTAATGCTTAATGGTCAATTCACTAGGCAGCTTGATATAGAGAAAAGTGCATGGGTTTTTCAGTCTGACAGCCTTAAGTCTTAATTACTAAGTCTCTAAAACACTTCAGTTTTCTCTTCTGTAAAATAGATGATAACCTCTACCTTCAGAAGAATAATCATTTACAAAAGGGTACAATTCTATCAATGATTCAATTCTAGTAAAGCCAAATTCAAACCTGGAATAATTCCTAATATTTTATACACTCATCTAAAATACATACACACATGCCCTCTCCCACAAACACCAAATTTTTTTGAAGTTGGAATTTTATTTATTTATTTATTTTTATTCATTTTAAAGATGTGCGACACAATTCAGGAATAGGTATAGTACCAAATAATTCTATTAAGATTTTTGGGGAAAGTTGTATACTACACTCATTCGTTGTAAGTACTTTATAAAAGATTCCCATCATGGATTATTTTACATCAGCTGTGTCTTTTCTCTTTGTTGTTAGGTAGGTCAGTCAAAATAAGTTACTCATATTTTATATCTGATGTAATGGGAGGGTAGAAAAAATGAAAGGAGAGAAATAATTTTAAACCAAAAAAAAAAAAAAACCCAGCCCCAAAACTAACTATGATAATGATGTGACTATCATTTCTGTGAGTCATAATTCCTGGCTCAATAGTTGCATTCTAATTTGGACCAGGGTTTTTGGGGGGTTTTTTAACCTGTATATTAACCTACCCCATAATTAAAACAGAAAATATGAAATCTTTTCTTCTTACATGTAATCTCTGCCCTCCTTCAGTGGCCAAGAGCAAGAAATTTAAACTTGATAAAAAGTTATTATTAGTTGTTTAAAATCTAAATTATAATCTCTTAAGAGTCAAGAACACTTGATCAAAACAAAATCAAAAGTCAGGATCCTAAATTATCAACTGTTTCTGTTATAAAGGCCCTGTTAATAAACTGTTGCCATGATCTCTGAATTAAAATCTAAAAATTCATTTGACTTTCTAAAATTACTTTCAGACTCCTAGTCTCCAGTCATTTGCCCAATATACCTATGAGTTCCTACTTAATCCTCTATAGACATGTGAAATCCCAACTTTAAGAATGCTCCCAAGGAGGTCGGGAAGATGGTGACCAAGTCAGTTGGACTATGTGAGTACCAGTGTAACTAAGTGAATGTATGAAAAATTTTGTGTACACACTGGTGAGCGAGTGGGTGTGTGAGTGGTTGACTGAGTGAGGGCTAGGGAGCTAGTGGCCAGGGCTCTCCTGGTGCAGCAGCTGGTGCCACAGCGACTGGACTTGGACCCTAGCGATTCCCGGGACACAGAAGTCGAGTGCCATTTTCTTGTTCCTTTTTTTTTTTTTAAATCAACAAACGCTCCCTGGGAAGAAAATGCTGGGAGAGACTGTCTAACTGGAGGTTTGTGAGTAGGTGGCCAGGCCCCTGGTGCAAGAGCTGGTGCTGAAGCTTCTTTACTTCATCCCTGGGTTCTTCTCAGGTCCCAGAAGCTAGGCGTCATTGTTTTTTTTAAACCGGACAGAAGTTTCCTGTGAAAAAGTGGTGGGGAGAAACTATCGCCCCAGGCTCTCCCTCACCATTGAAGCAGGAGAGAAACTGCCAGCTTCTGGCTTTGCCTCACCACTTCAGGTCCTGGCAGGGTGCTGTAAGCAGGGGCTGCAGAGGGAGTCCAGAGGCAAGGTCACACAGAAGAGGACAAGAGAGGCACCCTACCACCATCTTGAAGGTGGGGCAGGAAAGTGCTCCAACTTGCTCACCATGGAGCAACAGATCTGATCTCTATGACTAGTGGATCAACTACTCAGGGATTGATAGTGGCCCAGAGAGAATATCCTGAAAGCACAAACTTCGGAAAGACCTGACAAGTGCTAAGTTCCAGGTGCCCCACCCTGCAGGGCTGACCAAAACCACCTCCTCCCCAGCAATTCTCTGAACGTCAGACTCACACAGCTGGGCCAAGACTGAGAGGGACACACCCAGGCGGAGTCTGGACATCAGTCTCAATAGGAGATCTCCATTCCAGGATAGACCTGGCTGGGGCATCCCCTGTGAGAGACGTACCTAGGGAAGAGACAATCACATACCTCCCCACTGGAGGAAATCTCCCTGACTATAGGAGAGTGGGAGGGGAGGACTGCAGCCCCACTCACCTCCACTGCCCCTCCTACTTCCCTGCTTCCCACTCACCTCCACTGCCCCTCCTCCTTCCCTGCTTCTTTCCCTGAGGAGAGAGTGAAATAGGTGGCTCTGCAGGAGAGACCAGATTAGAGGAACAATTACAGAGCCTGCCACAGAGGGCAGGTTTTTTTTTTCAATTATTTTTTAGATTTTAAACATTTTTGGACTGTTTCTTTGTGAGTTCATCTATTTTTAAAGTATTTTCCTTTGTGCATGAATCTATATGTGAGGGTTTGATCTGCATCACCCCACAAAATTTTTTTTTGTTTCTTTTTCTGTTTCTTCTTTTGTCATTTTCTGTTTATGTGTGTATGTGAATGGCTGAGTGTTCATCTTTTGATTTTGTTGTTGTTGGTTTTTGCTCTTTTGTTCTGGATTTTTTTAACATTCATTTTTTATAGTTTAAGGTGTGTGTCAGTATATGTGTGAGGGTTCGAATTTCTTTTTATTTATATATGTATTTATTCTTTTATTTATTTTCCTCCGGTCTTTCCATTTTTCTTCTCTATTCACTTTGTGCTAGGCATGTGTGTGTGTGTTTAGTTTTCTTGGGGTTTTTTGGTTGTTGTTTGTTTTGTTTCATTTTGTTGTTATTCCAGTTTGTTTTGGGGTGTGTGAATGTCTGTGTATGTATGTGTTCAATTGCTTTTGCATTGGTTTCTGCTTTGCATCATCATATAGAGTGGTGATGGGGAGTGGATCTCAAGGAACACAAACCACAATAAGTGAACATTGTAATTTGCAAGTAGTTTCTGATTCCTAGCACCCCATCCCCTACTTTATTCGAATTTCAAAAACTACAAGAGACTGCAAAGCTTCCCATCCACCATACTCTTTCAAAATAGAACAAATCTAGAGCCTGGATCAGGGAAGAAGAGAGGACTGAGCAAACATCAAAAGGGAAAGTCTCTCGCATTGACACTGAATAACAGAACTAAAGAGAAAAACAAGAGATCTGTCACAAATAGGAAAAACCAAAGGAAGACCTCAGGCAATTTCAAATGTTCCAAAGACAAAACTCCTAAAAAATCAGACCTTGGTGCCCAAAGAATGGAAGTTACCAATGACTAGCCCCAGAATACAACAGAGATTAGGGAATGGATGGAAAGAGTAAATAAGACTCAAGAAAGACAAGATGCAACACTGAAAGAACCTGTAACAGAGATTTTGGCAATAAAAACTTCATCCAGGAAATAAATAACAAGATGACAAGCATGGAAAGCAGAATTAATCTAGCTGAAGAAAGAATCTCAGAACTTGAAGACCAGAACATGGAATTAACCCAATCTATAAAAAACATAGAAAGAAGACTCAGAAAGAAAGAATGCCTACAAGAGATGTGTGTTTATATCAAGAGGCCAAATCTATGCCTGACTGATATCCCAGAAGAAGAAAGGGAAATGGAGAACAACTTGGAGCAAGTATTCCAGGAGATAATCCAAGAAAACTTTCCCCATCTCACCAGAGATATGACCAGCCAAGCACAAGAGATACAGAGAACCCCCAAAAGACATCGAATGAGAAGACCAAACCCTAGACATGAATTACTAGACACATAGTAATTCGCCTACACAAAGTAGGCACAAAAGAAAAAATCCTAAAGCAGCAAGAGAGAAAGGTCAGACTACCTACCAGGGAAAGCCAATCACAATAGCAGCAGACCTATCAGCAGAAATACTATAAGCAAGAAGGGACTGGAACCCTATGTTCAAAGTCCTCAAAGATAAGCAATTTCAACCAAGAATTTCCTATCCAACCAAGCTCAGCTTCATCAGTGATAGAGAATTAAAATCCTTCCCAGACTTCCAATCCCTAAGAGATTATGCAGCTCCCAGACCAGCTCTACAGGAGACACTTAAAATGTATTAAGCACAGAAGAAAGAAAAAGAATGATCACACACTTCCCAAGAGAAGAGCAGAGCACAGAATAAACAGAGAATACAGTGCAACAAGAAACTTGAAAACATACACATACATTAACCCCAAAGCCAAAAGAAAACAAGCAAACAAAGAAAAAACTTTTTAAGAACCTCATGACAGGGATGAACAATCACATTTCGATAATCAGCCTGAATGTGAATGGACTAAATGCACCACTGAAAAGACACAGAATGGCAAACTAGATGAGAAACCATAACCCAATTATTTGCTGCATCCAGGAGACTCATCTCACTACAAGGGACACACAGACTCAAAGTTAAAGGATGGACAACAAGTTTTGAGGCAAATGGATCACAAAAGAAGGCAGGAGTTGTGATCTTAATATCAGACAAAACAACCTTTAAGCTACCAAAAATTTAAAAAGATGCAGGACACTATATAATGATAAAAGATTCAATTCATCAACAAGAAATATCTATCCTAAACATATATGCACCCAACACAGGAGCACCAGCATTTTTAAAGCAACTACTAAATAAACTAAAAAAAAACATTGACTCTAACTCTATAGCAGGGGACTTGAATACCCCACTAACAGCCCTAGATAGATCACCAAGGCAAAAAATCAACAAGGAGATCCAGAATCTAAACTCGACATTCGACTAAATGGACTTAATAGATACCTACAGATTATTCCACCCAAAACTACAGAATATACATTCTACTCATCACCATATGGAACGTACTCCAAGATCGATCACATCCTTGGCCATAAATCAAGCATAAACAAATTCCATAAGGTTGAAATCTTGCCATGCACATTCTCAGACCACAGTGGAATAA